AAAATGGAGAAATAAAATCATAAAAATCTATGCTAATTAAGATCAGATATGATCAGATATCCAACCAACGTCACGGTCATGATTTCCTTTGTTTAAACTTGATGAATTATTAATGAGTTTGAGAAGTTCATATGAAACACTTGAAAGTATTAGCAAAATGAAACTGATGATGAAATGTTTGTTACCTGTGTTTGCACAATTTCTCTGAACTTTGAAATTTATTTCCTCGACTTCCCATGGGGAATTGTTTTTGGTGTTATTCCAGGCAAATACTTATATCTTTAGCTTTATGAAAATGCAAAAGGACTGTAATATACTTAATATTATAATGGCACAGTACTAGGTTTTTGTCCACTAAAAGTTGAAATCGCTTGATTTCCTATCAAATTTCATCTTAATAACTTAAATCAACTGGCATGGAAAATGAAGTGCAGTAAGATTATATAGAGGATATTGCATGGCCACAAGGAGATACAAACTTTATCTTTGAGTGTTTCATGAGTGAGCGCAGTGAACAAGTTAAATATTTGAAACATTTGTCAACACGAGAAGAGAAATTTCGTATCTCCAAGTGACGATGTAATTTTCTATTTATTAATGTAAATTCTAAATCGACATTTTTGGCAAGTTACTGAAGATTTCTGAACATTTTCCGAAGATTTCCAAAGACTTCTGAAGAAGATCCGAAGATGTTTCGATCATAAACCAACAAATTTAAGTACAGTTAAAGTGATGAAAATGTTATCAAAATTGATATCCTCACAGTGTGGATAAAAATGATATCCTCACATGAGGGATATTGTTTTTATCAATTTGTTACCACTGGGTATACCACTAACTTCACTATAATAAAGAGATATAATTAACTATTAACAGTTACTTATTAATTTCTGGTTAAACGTTAAGTTTGGAACTCACTTGTGGGAAACATTATCAGTGCCATTTTGCCTCATGTACGACTGTGTGAGGTGAAACCTGCAACTGAATCCAATCTAATGTACGTTGGTATTTTAGCTTCAATCACCCAGGGGCTCATTATACAATGCACTTAGTACTTATAATCCACCACAGGTTATTATTTTAATTAGAATTTTTAGTTTTTAGGAATTATTCCAAACTTTATTTGTGGAATTATAGGATGACTCCCTGAAACATGGGGAGTGTTAAATGATTTCCCTGCTCACTTGACAGTTTATTGTGGGCCTTTGGAGAAATATTTTATTGTTTCCTGCAACCACATGAATAAACAAGCTGTTTTACTTCCTGTTGTAAATAAAATTAATACAGTAAACACCCACATACATTATAAGAACCTATGATTTTGGGGTTCAGGCTGATCAAGTTCTTATTTACTGTGTGGTTAGTGAGAAATCACCCTGAAAATGTTCTTGAAATGTTTTTAAAATTTGTTTCAGAAATACTACACATTATACATTTCTAAAGGTTTAATAACATATATTATTAACATATGTAATGTTTTAATATATAGTCTGTCAACCTATTATTTGGAGCATGGCCTCCATGTTGGGCAACTCCGCCGTTGTCGTCATCGCCATCGTGCGTACATGCCCACAAGCAATACCGCTAGCCATGATAACCATGAGAAAATCAACTCATGGGTTTCTTTTTCTTTCCTATATGAGTATGGGGCTCCGCTTGGGGGCC